TCCGTAAAGAAAGATCCATTGATAAAAACATCTGATAATGCTGATATCATCACTAAGAACATCTCCACAGCATCATCTTTGGTAATCTGACAGTTGAATTTTTGATGGGTATTTCTTCTTGAGAAAGAGAGCAGAAGATCGACTCTTTCAATTGAAGGCGTAAACACCAACTTTCACTTAATATCATTTGTACTGCCCTGTTAGTTCTATGTCAAATTTCGTGTACAGGAAACAAAAATGGAGTGGAGAGTTAGCCGACTCACTGCAACTTTGTAAAAGAAGGAGGGAAGCCCGGGCGACTATGTGATATGCTACGACGACATATTCTATTTCAAGCTCTGTTTCAGTTTCATACTCTAACTCAGCTGAACACCGGAAAAACTTAAATTTAGCTGAACAGCGAAAAAAAGCTTAAAATTTATTAACTTTGAAAAAGGGAAAAAATTCTTCAGTTCAACATTTCTCGGGATGGGGTGTTTGACACAATAAGGTGGGTAGCCTGGCGTTAGCCAGAGATCCGACTTTATATGAAAAGGAGGATGCCCGGCGTAGCCGGGCATTTCATAAGAAGGAGGAGAGCCCGGCGTTAGCTGGGCGATCCGACTGGTAATCGAATATTCGAGTTGCTATAATCATAAACAAGGTATTGGGTTACGATATGTAAACGGAACATACATACACATATCGATAGGCGGCTCCAGTAAAGTCAAAAATTATAGCTGGACGTAGCATTGTGGAATTTCTTACATAACGATACCGGCCAGATCTACAGAGCTATCTATTCAATCAGAAAACTCATCATTCCCCACATGGAACCGTCTTGAAGAATGCAAGGCAAAGACGAAAAGAATGCATATGAGCACGCCGCAAGACCAATCAAAACTGAAAAGGCAATAAAAGGAAGAAAACAGCTAATGTCATTGTATTAGGGTCAAAATTATTTAATCACCAAGAATACAAGGCAAAGACGAAAAGAATGCATATGAGCACGCCGCAAGACCAATCAAAACTGAAAAGGCAATAAAAGGAAGAAAACAGCTAATGTCATTGTATTGGGGTCAAAATTATTTAATCACCAAAACAATCGGGGGGCTCGAAAGCTCAATGCGTGTGACAACAAATTTGAGAAATGCACGAAAAGCAAAGTGTCCAAAAATACTGACCCGGAGTCGATTGCGGCAAAGTTGCTCGTGGGATGTTATGTTTCATGGAATGCAAGTGACGGGCACATGTGAATAGTTTCCTTGCAGAAGTCAAGAAAAATGATATTTTTAGTTGGGGAAGGTTTATGAACTCACAAAAATAGTTTGGATCGCCACCATTCAGTTCGATGTTTGTGCAGTAGATTTCACCGCGTTTTCTCTCGTTGTCTTTAAGATGTAAATATCAACACATTCCAAGCTTAGAAGTTTTCTTCTGAAGCTACAAGTCCGTTGGAAAAAAAATCCAAAGAAGTCAGGGCGATTCCAAGTGAATGGAATGCGAAGGTCTTCAAATATCGCCCATCGACTTGCAGCTATGCATCAACCCACTCGTATAATTATTATCTTATGCTTAGTACCGTATCGGTCCTAAGGATATATGTATTTTCTAGAGAGTGCCTTGGGCAATTCTCAACATATTTCTTTGCCGCTCAGTGACCTGTACGATCCATATACTCCTGTTTACAGATGACCTTCTCTTTCGCTAACGAAGACGAGGATGAGCTGAAACAATAATTGAACAGAAGTTTGGCTATGATATGCACTCGGAACACGTTGCCGGTTTTAAAAACTTTCTTGGTTGGAAATCACTTCCTGGAATTCTTCACATAACGTTACCAGTTGCTCCAGTATACGTTGCCATTCTTGTGCTCAGAAAACTCACCATTTCGAAACTTAGCCGTGGCATGGTAATGTCAGCGAGCAATCGACGTCTTCACTCACAATTGCTGAAGGTGAACATTTTTCTAGAAAAATTAGTGGTAGCTTTACCTGCACACAAAATCTTCAAAAGTTGATCCTCCTGAGAGCTTGATAGTGGAACACAACTAGTGAGTTTATGAGAGCTGAAACGGTATCTACAGAGCGATTTATTTTATTTAACCTGCGATGCGGCCCGAAGTCGTCGCATGGGACATTATTCAAACAGTTTCTTGTTTGTTGCTGTATAGAACCAAGCATTCTATCTTTTACTTCTTGCTTCATGACCATTATCTTATAACTACAGTGCGATGCTTCAGGCGCTCACGATCCAAGCCTGCTTACCCATTTTATTCCTACTTGCCGTCATCGTGTATGCCGTTGAGCAGTTGGACATCTATCATCATCCAGCTCTTGAATTTTCCATATTCATGATGAGCAGTTTAATTCCGATGTTGAGTCCTCTCACATCGCTTGTTTTCATTCGTCCTTACAATGTTTGGATCAAAAAGAAGCTTCTACGCCGACCCAATATGTTCTCCAGCACCAAGATATCGACAATCACGTCAAAGGCCAGGATAAGTGACCCAAATGTGGAGCTCTAATACTTGCCGTTTGTGCATTAGAAAACGTTCCAATTGATATTCCCGATTATTGACTGATAAATCTATTTGCTACGGCGCCATAATAAAATTCCAAGAGGAATGTTTCGGGATACAAATACTTATATTTTTTCAGACACATATTCAAGTGCTTCAAAAGATGTGATTTTTCATGCACATTACCTGAACTCCAAGCAAGCATTACGCCGTCGGCACAAAGAGGAATTTGTGGTGCAGGTTCGAAAAATCACATGTTATAGCATCCAAGCCCACTACAAGTAGTAGTGGGGAAAGGCCTTAATATACTGCAACGAACTACCGGATTTCGAAAAAGTACTTCTCGCCAGTATACTCATCTTCATCATCACGGCGAGTGTTTTTGTTAAGGATTCTAGACGTGTACAATCACTCTCTTTGACCTTAGTGATGAATGGCAGTTTGAGGAGTGAATTCCGTCCACTAAAATACCACCAAATCTTTATAAATATACCACCATATGACGCCTCCAGAAAAAGCTGTCAGTCAAAAATTACAGTAATCACTTTTGGCTGTATTTCGGCTATTTCTAGCGACCTTTTTTTAAAATCTTTCTAGTACAGCCCTTCAAAGGCTTGTTCAGTGTGATTAGGATGACCTAAAAATCAATGAACACGTGCTATGAGCTTCCTATCGCAGTTCATTACGATCATATCGCCCCTAACCTCTTTTGAGCCTACAAGGAACAAATCATGAAGCAATCATCGATATGTCTGCATTGAAGGGATGTGAGGGGCAGGGAGAGAGATTTTCCAAGCAGGTCGCTTTTAATTTGGCCATAAAAGCTATTGTCAAGTAGAGGGCAGTCGTTGCCTCACAGCCAAGCCTGCAAGCAAAGTTTTAAAAGAATTTGCAAAGGCAATGTAGAGAGCTATGATTGCAATATTCTTCTGCCGTGCGAGGTTGTTAGGTGGAACAATTTATT